AATTGACAATATATAATCCCTTTTAATTTTGTGGTCGTTCATTACAATTTATTTATAACCCAATAATTAATATCAATACAAATGTGGCATGATCCTAAGATTGATCGATGCCATAAGAACGAAAACTAGGAGGGCTGAGTAAAAATAGGATCGACTTCCTTTAAAAATGTAATGAAGCTTTCTTTACACAAATTTTCAACCTGGTTTTAAGCTACCACGTCATGTGATTGTGGAATGTATAGTTTTTTTCTTTTTTTTAAAAAAAAAATCTTCATTACTTAGATTTCGTACAAGCATTGTAATAGCTAAAGAGGGTAATACATATATATATATGGTTTGAGTTGACAAAGAAATGCACATACATGGCCGATGCTATTAATGCACAAAGTGTGCCTCACATGCTTGCTAGAGTAGTTAATGACCATCAATTAATTTAATCTCTTGACCCTATTAATTAATTAGAGCATGGAATTAGAGGGATTAATACGAGAAATTTTATAATATCCAAAAAGTAATTATAATATTTATTTTACGAGTTCATTTTTAAAAAGAATGGCATTAGAGGTATATATTAATAGGAGAAATTTTACATCCAAAAATTACCTATTAATATTTATTTCATGAGTTCATTTTTAAAAGATAAATAATTATAAAAAATGAATAAAATATTAAGTGTATTTAATCTAAGCTTAAAAATATTTTCTTAATAATCTCTTTTGTTTTTTTTTTATATTTTTTTTTCTCCTACAATATTGATAATTGATTTTTTTTTTCAGTGTACTGTCGTACTCAGACACCACATTCGAAAACTTCGACTAATCATTTTTCAAAGACCTTAATGGGCAGCACGTCGGAGGCTGTTGCCCATTTCCCATGGCGACGAATATCACTGCATTATTAATGAGTAAGCACGGCATAATTGTTTTCCTTTAAAAATATATGAACATACTTTAAGTTTTTTTGTGTCCAACCATTAAAAAAAGAAGAATGAGAAGAAGAAGTAGGTTGAACTTGAACCAACTAATTGCCGGTTTTGTTTAAAAAAAAACACTTGCTTATATCTTGAATTGATTATCAAATATATTTATTTTATAAACTTGTAATAATATATGAGTATACTATCTTATCTATATTAAAAAATTTCTATATGATTGCTCGATATCGCCCTCAAGCTGATCTCATTTAAATGGAAAACATAAAATAGTATAGTTAAAACTTAAGAATTTTTAAAATAAAAAAGATATATTGATATTTATTGAACAACAGTACAGGTATTATTATATGTATAAAGACAAACACCATGTCCATTGTGTATTTTATTGCTTACCATCATCCACGAGAATATTGATAGATAATTAGCATGTTTGTTGTGTCAAATATTTTATTGAATATATATATATATATAGATTTTTTAAAATATTTTTATGTTTGTTTTTTTATAAGAAAATTGAAGAAAATATTTTATAAATAATAATTCACTAAAAATATTATACAATTTATTTTAATTACCATTTTCATCTCCACCATCATGTCTGCTATCACCATAAAAATCACCTTGCCATCATAGTAATAACCATTGCCACTTTTATTGTTATCATCACTTTACAATCATCATTGTCTCCACCTCTATCTGATCTTATCATCTTTAACACTGTAATCATCACCACCGCACGTTTTCATAATTCTACTTTTATTGTATTTTTAAATTATTACTCATAAAATATTACTAAAAAGATTATGTAAATTTTTTTTATATATATATAATATTTTTTATTCCAAAAATATTTTATAGAAAACAAATGGTTGATGCACTATTACTACATTGTATATATAAATTTAATAAAATAATCGATTGACATATATAGTCTTTCTTTGAATAAAAATTAAAAAAATTTAGAAGCCAACTTAATTTATTAGTAGATGCTTAAAATTTCAAGGAGCGAAAACCGATTAAGATCTAAGCTATCAAGATTTCGTCTCATATTAATTTAATTAATGTTATCAGATGCATGTCATTAGGGTATAAACAAAAGAAAACATTGCCAGTGGGATGCATAAATATTTACAACTGATGATACAATTAGGATGAATTAATTATTGAAAATATTACTTGTCCTCGAATGCCTCAAAAGGACCATATTAATCAAGTGCCAACATGCCCATAACTTGCCTACTAACTTGTTCCACTATTTAGTTATTGGAAGAACCATTAGATGTAGTACTGCGACTTTATTCCTCAACCATGTTATGAAACCTGTCATGGATTAAGAGGCTGGATTTCTTCTTTTTTTTAGGAAAAAAAAAAACTCACAAATCTGATTAAAATATATTGATTTTTTAAAAAAATTTAACATGATTCAACTCATCTTACTCACTTGTGACTCAAACTTCGTGTGTAATTGATTCTAAGATCAGGTTTATTAGCTATGATTTCAATAAATATAAAATTGTAGGCTAATTAATAATTACGTGAGTAATTTCCAACTATTTCTTTAATTTTATCTGAGCAATTCATAATTACAGGGAAAATAAATAGAGTTTCGAAAAGACAAATTTATTATTATTTTTTAATATAAATTTGACATAATATAACACAGGACAAATATCAACAAATTCAAAAGGAGGTTTAAAATAACGAAAACGAGTATAATTCTTAATGCATGGGAGCACAAAGGCCCAATTTTATAGTGAGTCAATTGATTGTAATATTCGGCTAAGGTATCATGCCCAAATTAAGTCCAAAAGATATAATTATTTTATATTCGTTTTTATTTCTCTAATTATTTTTGGATATCTTTCTTATTTTCTTTTTTCTTTTATGATTTTTTTTCATTTTGAACTTAGATCAGAATAGGAATTATTTGAACAATTTATAAATTATTTTCATAACAATTTTAAAAATAATTAAATTTTAAAATATATCAAAACAGGATTTTCTTTACTTTTAATTTTAAGAAATACTAATTGCTATAAAATAAGATTTTTTTTTTTTTTATCAACCAGATTTTAAACAGGCCATGCCGGCCGTCAAGTTACCCACAATTTATATGCCAGACATAGAGTCTACACTCTATAAATTCAATGCCTTCCTCCACTCTTAAGTCACTGTCCATTCTTCAATCCACCAAAGGAAAACCTTTTCTTTTCCTTGCTATCCTAAAATATGGCAAAACCTATCATTCTTTTGCTAGTACTGTCTATATTATACATAACATGCCCAGCAAACTCTGCAACCACTTCATGCCCTACTTCCACTGCTATGAATTTTATTAAGGCTTGATGGAGATACGCAATTGGTGTAGTTCATAAATAAATAAAGAAGAAAAACAATATCTATTTTATATAGAAAAAAGACACTCCTAAATGTTTATAAGCGTGATTTATAGTAAATTAAATAAAAATTATAAAGGATGGGCTCATTTAATGGGTAATTTCTAATGCTATTATATGAATATTTATATTATCAAAAGATGGTACTTAACACTTGACATGTTAGTGAAATTAGTTTGTTTTTGAATTAATTTGTTAAATTTTTGTAATTAATTTTGAAATTTGTAACTATTGGGATAAAACTAAATAACAACTATTTAGTTTAATTTAAAATATAAAAATTTCATTAACAATCATAATATTAAAAGACATAATATATTTCATTATAAAGTTTTTAAATCTAATAAAATATGTCATTAATTACACAAAAAACAAATATACAATAATAATATTTTTTTCTTCCTTATCTGCTAATATTTTTAGAGATTTAAATAACTTAGTTGTATTTGAGATATACTGTCACTATATAAGGCAAACATGCATCTTAAAATCAGTGTTTTTACATTTCTAAATCAACACTTATTTGTTTCCATCTTAAACTATTTCTTTAACAGTTCCACCCGTTACCCTGCACTCTGTGGGCAATCTCTTTTAAAATATGATACTTCCATCCAACGAAACAGAAGCCAATTGATCCAGTCGACAGCCTTCTCTGTGAGCCTAGACAAAGCTAAATCAACTAAAACATTAATTTGCATACAAGTTGACAAAGTTGAATGGAGTCAAGCCCATAGGGATGGCAGTTGTTAAAGACTGCTTAGAACAGATTGATGATGCCGTGGACCAGCTCTGGGAATCGATTAAAGAGCTGAAGAACATTGGTAAAGCTGAGGGTCGTCGATCAGGACTTGCAGTTTCACGCACATAAGCAATGTACAGACATGGAATAGTGCTGCATTGACCGATGTGTACTGATGCGTTTGCTGGCAAAGCCTTGGATGGAAGGCTAAGGACGTCGTCAGTTTGGGCAAGGATGGATGGTGCTGCACGGTTCACTAGCAATGCACTGGCTTTGGTTAACAAGTTCGGTACCAAGCTCTAAGTGGAGGCTATATATACCAACGATACGTTTGGATAAGAGATTTTTATGGTTTGATTCCATCTTGATGTTATGTTTTTGTGAAGGTTTTCGAGGGATTTAGGGTTTCCCTTTTTGTTTTTAGTTTCTTAAAAAATATATTAATTTATTTCTTAAGGGAGTTTTGTATGTTGCAAATGAAGGATAATCCTTCTAATTGTCAATAAAAATTTTCTTTAATGATTTTTTTTTTATATGCAAATAAACTCACCATATATAAGTGGGTAAACCATAAAGTCTCCGGTTAATCAATGCAAAATTTTCTTTAATGATTTTAGTGATGTGGTAGTTATGTTTTTTAAAATATTTTTTAAATTAATTTTTGCATGAAAAAATTAAATTAGTATTTTTTTTTTTACCATTTAGTATTGTGGTAGCTTATATTTTAAAGTTATTTTTAAATTGATTTTCACATAAAAAACATTAAATTGATATTTTTTATATATTTTTTAATAATTTTGATATGCTAATATAAAAAATAAAATAAAAATTTTAAAAATATTATTTTAATATTCTTAAATTAAAAAATAATTTTAAAAAATATTATCTCATGCATTCTCAAATAGCAGGCATTTATTTAAAGCATGAAAGTGCCAAAAGAGGACCTCTAGTTAATTGATAGGTCCAGCTTAACATGGCCTTTCTATCAAAGCTAGAAATGGCCTTCTATAGAGTGTAGATTTCCATGCCATGAAATAATCCATCAAAATAAAATATTTCCAGTCCTCTTCACCTCTCAACATTTTCCAAAATGGTAACCATTCTCCAGCCACCAAGCTTCCACACACCTTCAATAACTCTCCACCACTACCCTTCCATCACTAGCAAAACAAGCAGGAAAAAAAGAGAGCTAAAAGAGAAACACAAACAAACACAGTTCCAAAAAAACCTTAACAAAAGAACCCTTTCTTTCCCAAAATCTTGCCCAACTCCTCTCCTTATTAACCACAGACCGCCTCCCCAAACCCAACTAGAAGCCTTAGAAAATGTTATCAAAGACCTACAGTCCTCCATGGAAAAGGGCATTAGAATTGATACTCAAATTTTCTCTTCACTTTTAGAAACATGTTACCGTTTAAATGCTATAGAGCTTGGTGTTAAGATTCACAGGCTAATACCCATTAATCTTTTACGTAGAAATGTTGGCATTTCGTCGAAATTGGTGAGGTTGTACTCGTCATGTGGGGATGTTGAATTAGCTCACCAGGTGTTTGATGAAATGTTTAAGAGAGGGGAGTCGGCGTTTCCATGGAACTCACTTATTGCAGGGTATACTGAATCGGGCCTGTATGAGGACGCTATGGCGCTTTACTTTCAAATGGAAGAAGAGGGTGTTGAACCGGACCAGTTTACGTTCCCCCGGGTTCTGAAAGCTTGCGGGGGAATTGGGTTGATTCATATAGGCGAGGCGGTGCATAGGGATTTAGTTAGGTTGGGTTTTGCTAATGATGGGTTTGTGTTAAATGCGCTTGTTGATATGTATGCGAAATGTGGTGACATTGTTAAGGCTAGAAGGATATTTGATAAGATAGATTGTAAGGACTCTATTTCATGGAATTCTATGCTTACGGGTTATATTCGTCATGGGTTAATAGCCGAGGCATTACACACATTGCATAGCATGATTCATGATGGGATGGAACTTGATTCGGTGGCTGTTTCAACAATCCTTGCCAATGTATCGTCTTTTGAGGTTGCAGTTCAAATTCATGGATGGATTGTTAGGAGGGGAATGGAGTGGGATTTGTCTATTGCTAATTCTTTGATTTCTGTCTACTACTCAAATGGCAGGAAGTTGGATCGAGCACGTTGGTTGTTTGATCACATGCAAGAGAAGGATATTGTATCATGGAATTCTATAATTTCTGCTCATTGTAAAGATCTCAAGGCATTGACTTACTTTGAGTTGATGGAGAGGGATGGTGTTTTGCCAGATAAAATCACATTTGTGTCATTACTATCAGCTTGCGCTCATTTGGGTTTGGTGACGGACGGGGAGAGGTTATTTTCACTGATGAAAGCGAAATACCAGATAAATCCTATCATGGAGCACTATGCTTGTATGGTGAATCTTTATGGAAGGGCAGGATTAATCAACGAGGCATACGCCATCATTAGGGATCAAATGGAGTTCGAGGCTGGTCCAACTGTGTGGGGAGCGTTGTTGTATTCTTGTTATCTCCACCGTAATGTAGATACTGGAGAGATTGCAGCTCAATATCTTTTTGACTTGGAGCCAGATAATGAACACAATTTTGAACTCTTGATGAAGATTTACGGCAATGCAGATAGATTGGAGGATGCAGAAAGAGTAAGAAAAATGATGGTTGACAGGGGATTGTAATTGTATACATCAGTACAGAATTTGTTTTGATATGATCGCCATCTCAAGGAGGAAATATTTTTGTGTTAGCCAAGTTGCTGTCAGATGCGGCGTCGGCCGAGCTTCCTCTTTCTTTTGATAGTCACGTAAATTGAGGGCACAAGATGAAGAAATCCATGGTCAAACCAGCTGTTTTACTTGTGTAGTTTGAGTATATAGGAAGCTTATTGAAGTATCAACATTGCTAGAAGGCTAGCTGTTGCGGAAAGTAGATAAATGGATTTGGTGGTGTAAATTTCTCACTTGTAAAAAAAAAAATGGTGCTGAAACAACTTCTTGTGATTGTAAATGTGTAACATACGATCATCCGAGGTCAACCTCGATCCTATTTTTTTTCTTTATTCACTAAATTTGTAGATTATGGTTTCACATACAATCATCCGAGGTCAATCTCGATCCTATTTTTTTTCTTTATTCACTAAATTTGTAGATTATGGTTTCCAATTTTTATAATCGATACAATAAACAATAAAAACAAGATTACATTGCCTTGAAATCCCTCAGTATTATTATTTTTTTTCTTTGTTTGTTTATAAATTTATGGATATATTTATTATTGATAAATTAATCTATAATTTATAAATTATTAATAAGAATTTTTTCAATGAACTATTATGTTTATGTTTATAAGTTTGTCAGTATAACATACATGTTGAAAGAATACAAATATAAATATTTACAGAAAGTTATGTTCATTATTTAAAAAAAATTATTGCTATATTTTTTATTAAATATTATTTGACTTTTTCCCCTAAAATTTTACAACATTACCCAGTGTTCTTTTTTTACAACCTTCCTCAAAGGTTTATACCCATGATAAAAAAAAATAACTCGTAGTAAAAGAGAATTATTGTCGCTGCAAGAAATACGTTGTTAATAGCTACACTTTTTATAAAAAAAAAATTTCGAACTCGCGGTAGAGCACAATTCAGTAGAATAGTTTTACCCCACGACATGCATGATTAATTTGAGGGGCTTGTCAGCAAAGCAATCTTCCATTATTAATTTAATTGTTTGTCTTGAATGATTAGTAAAAGGGATTTTGATGAATTATTAGAAAGATTAGTATCTCTTAAGCCTTTTGGCCATCGTTTAATTTAGTCGTTATCTCTATAATACAGCTTTTGACCCCCATAATCATTTTTGCGTACAAGATTACCTTTTCTTTTCTTTCTTGAGACTCTTTTACTACCTTTTGCTGTATCTTCGACTCACTTAAAGACCATTCCACATTCCTTCTAGTAAAATAATATGAACTTTCACACCTGTTTTTCTCTTTGTTCACACAGAGAGTTCTCTTCTTGTATTCTTTAATTTAACTAATTATTTTCTTGTTTAATTTTTAATATACGAGTTGAATGGAATTGTTTATGTATGCCAATTAATTGCATATAATCCCTCTTGTTGGTGGACATTATAGTTTGATAAAACTAGATTTATCTAGCTAAATCAGATCTAAATTTGACATGGTAAAAAAAAATATTATTTTAATAAAAATAATTAATGTAAACTGAATTGATTCAATTACATATATTGATACAATAATTTCAGTGTTTTTTTTTCAGGTCAATGTTCACAACCTTACCCAAGCAACGGCAGCACGTCGGTGGCTAGTGGCCAGGGCCACCAGCATCACTGCTTCTTATCTTTCTCCGAGAGGTTATTGAGCACAACATTTTTTTTCTCTTTTAAAATATGAACGTACTTTCAATTCGGTTGGTGTCACGTCGGTAGACAAAAGACAGGAGCTTTTGAGGTGGAGGAGGGCCACCGGCGACGCGGTTGGATACTCGCAAAATGCCGTGTTTCTTAAAGAATCATAAGCTAACCTGAACCTAGTATTGCCAGTTTTGGGAAAAACACCTATACAATCTTTCCTCTTACCTGTCTTGCTCTCGAGAGGCGATGACATGTTTTTCCTTATCCTATGAAAGTTGCTTGTCTCTTGGATTGAAGCCAATCGTTGTCAAAATATACATCAAAACCCTCCTTTGTTCAGGTAATAATAGGATTTAGTATAGAAAAGATTTTAAAAAAAATAGCATGGATGAAAAAATAATTAGCACATTTAAAAGAATTTTTTAAAATAACATAGTTCAATTAGTTGTGTACAATTAGAATTTTTTTAAAAAAAAATAAAGAGTTATGTTACTCCTCATAATACAACTCTTGAAAATGTTCATAGTCTATGTATTGGAGAAACCTTCTAATAATGATCAACTAGCAAGTTGTGAAGTTATCACTCAATAAAACATAGGATGACCAGTCTTATTTGTGGAAATAACTCGTGTTGATGTGTCCATAATTTTTCAAGATTAGGTTCGAGTCTCATGAAAAATGATGAGATTCGAGCTCCATTCTATGTCAAGTAAGGATATGCCCATGACACGTGCAAGTAGAAATAGGAGTTATTTTAATTAGCAAAGTTAGAGAATGGGATTCTTTTATATTTCAGAACACAACTTTCCTTCAAATCTAGAATAGAAGGGTTAGAAACCTTCAAAGATCTCATGCAAAAAGCCAGAATTATGAGCTTCGGCAACAGGATCCAAGCTAGGAAGGCACTAGTAGGTAGCGGTAAGGTAGCTATTATTAGTTCGAGGTGATGATGGTAACTGTAAACTCTTTTTTTTCTATAAGAATCATAATCCTATCGTAGCATAGCAAAATAAAAAAAATAAAGTTATAAAGGATCCGAAATACCTTACTTATATATTATTGGAAAATGCATTAACATAAATTTAAAAAAAAATCTCAAAGATTGTGCTTCTAGGAATGGCACAACCTTTGAAAATTCATATAAGAGGTTTAGATCAATCATATACAAATTAAAATATAATTTGTAATTTATCATGTTTAAAAAAATTAAAAAATAGCATATTCAATTAGTTGCGATACAATTACAATTAAAAACATTAAAAAGTTGTGTTATTTCTAATAATGCAACTCTTGAAAATTAAAAAAAAAATCTCAAAATTACACTTTTAAAAATAACGTAACTTTTGAGATTTTGATCAATCGAATGCTAATTTATTGTATTTGAACAAATTAAAAGCCTAGAAATATATCTTTGGATTACAACTTGTTTGACAAAAATAAATAATTTGTTTGATAAAAATAAACATAATTTTTAATTTAATTGTTAAATCAAACTCAAAGTTTTCTAAGAAATTTTATTGGGTTGGTTCTGTATGCATGAGTACCAAGCAATTTTCAAAGATTAGGCTACTCATAATAACATGACTCTTAAGAATTTTTATATTTATTTTTAAAGGTAATATTACTAGAAGTAATATTAAAATTCAATATTTTAATTGACCAAATGACTCACGCTCAAGTGTGCTTGTTTGCTTAAAAACTAATTTTTTAAGGTAATTTTTATAAAAAATAAATTCTTTTAAAAAGTGAATTATTGTTTAATATTATATTATGTTATAAAAAATAAATTAGAACATACTTTACAGTATTATTAATTTCATAAAAAATAAGTTGAAAAATAATTAATTAATATTTTATTTAAAAAAAAAAAGTCAAATGATTCGAGAATCAAGTTTTTATTATATCAAGTTTTAGTTATCATCATCCTTGTGTTCAAAAATCATAAATAACTTAATTAATATTTTATTTTTAATAAAAAATTAATTATTTAAGAACCACGTATCTATCAAATTAGATTTTAGTCATTATTATACTTGCTATTCAAAGATGATAAATATTTTAATTTAATAAATTATTTAAAATAAAATAAATAAAAATTAAAAAATAGAAAATCAAATATAATAAATAAGAAATTCCAATTTAAAAATAAGAATTAAAACTTATATAAAAATAAAATAAAAATAAAAATGATTCATCATAAAATATATAGTAATGAAAAAAAATTAAATATGGAGTTTGATATAATTAATAAATAATAATATATTTTTAAAATTTTCATAACAATTCAAATTTTTTTATTAAAAATAAAAAAATTAGAATAAAAATAAAAATTTTATTTTAACTAAAAAATATTTTTCATGAATTAATTTTTTTAACAACAAACAAATTTTTTTTTAAATAACATTGAAAAAACCCCTTTCATTAATGATGCTCAAGCAACTCAGCATAGCCCCTCTCTCTGCAAGATAAGGAAAAAAAAATAAAAAAATAAAAGAAACAGCCAAACACCACTCTATTTTGCACACCCAAACCCTTCCTTTCCCTCCCCTGCCCTCCCCCCCCCCCCCCCCCCTATCTATTTAGCAATTTCTATAGCCATGCTGTCAACGGTTTCGGCCATTTTCCCATCGGTTGAACCGATGGCCAGCAACCCATTTCAGTCGTTCGAGAACGGCTTTACGCCTTGGGACTGTTTCGACCCCTTTCCAAGCTCTCCTCAATCACCAAAGCCTGTTGGTTCGAGTTCCGGTTCGGATAAATCCAACCAGGCAGACCAAAACCCTGACAACTCGAACTCAAACTCTGGCTCCGACGACCCAAACCCTCAAGTTTCAGTCATAGATGAGAGGAAACGCAGGCGGATGGTATCAAACCGGGAGTCGGCAAGGCGGTCACGGATGCGAAAGCAGAAGCACGTAGAAAACCTAAGGAACCAGGTGAACCGGCTTAGGATTGAGAACCGGGAACTGACGAACCAGTTGCGCTTTGTTTTGTACCATTCCCATGGTGTACGGACAGACTACGACCGACTCCGGTCCGAGTATAGTATGCTCCGAAAAAAGCTGTCGGACATACGCCAAATTTTGATGATGAGGCAACTCCAAGAATTGACGTCCGCGTGGCCGTGCAATAACATGATTACCACCACCACCACCACCGAACAAATAGCTCCATCATTAATCACTTCATAAACGTATAAAATAAACTCAATAAATCATGAAACTGAAAGCTAAAACAGGAAGAAAACGAGGCTTTATTTGTAGGGTCTTCTGATCAGTACTCTTTGTAGAGTCTTATATATATGTAAATGATAAAGCTGCTATGAAGCAAAACTTAAATGGTGGGGTTTACGGTGATTTTTGTTAAAGGGTGCTTTTTAGGGCAAAATGATTGGCGGTTTTGGGGAGCCTTGGTTCATTATTGTCATTGTAAAAAGAGTAGTTGACTCGTGCCCGGTTATTTAAAGCTATATTATCCATCTTGTTTTCCTATTGTTTTCACTTTACATCCGCACCACTTCTTATGCTTATAATTATAATATGAATGGAATCGTGTGCGTGTGTCTGTGTCTATATATATATATATATGGCTGGAAAAGTATACAGAGAACCTTCAACTCAAAATCTTGCTCGAGTTCAATTTTGTAAAAATTAATTTTATCAAACCTCGTTGACTTGATAAATCAACTATAGATTAGAA